ATGGAAATTACAGGCCTCTCTCATCTTTTTAAGTGGGAGAACTTGCACAATTGGTGGCTGACTAAATACTTTTTTGCCCCACTGTATATGGTGGCTGACCTGGGTTGGCCCAAACGGAGATGCTCCTCTCTCAGAGTTGTGCTCATCTGGGTTTCAAATGTGACAGCTATGAACCCAGGATGAAGGGGTGGGGTAGCAGATGTTACACAGAAGGCCCTAACAGCTTTCGGAGGCACTGTGCTGCAGGTAACTGGATGCGAGACTCTGTGGTTGAAGTGGGGCTCCAGGGAAGAGTTGGATTTGTTACTGATGTATTGGCCTCCCTGTTGTATAGCAACATCCCTGCCTAAGCTGCTCAATTCTGTTGTTCTGTTGGCAGTAGAATATTTCAGACTAATAGTCCTTGGAGAGTTCAATTTGCCTTCATGTGGCAGAGAATCACAAGAGCAACCCAGGGGTTCATGGCCATCATGACAATCATGGACCTGTCCCAGGTAATTGAGGGCCCAATACCGACAGGTGGTCACATGTTAGATCAGGATTTGTCTCAGGGCAATTGCAATGTGATCTGAACATGGAGGACATTACCATCAGTCCTTTGTCATGGACAGATCACTTTTTGGTTGTTTTTCAGCTCACTGGTGCTGCCCCCTCCCAGCCAAGTAATGGATCTGGATAGATTTCAGAGGAATCTGGTTTTTTTCCTGGGGATCTGGTGAGCAGTTTCACTGAGGCCTTAGTCACCACTTGGAATGGGTGGGTGTCAATGGCCTTAGGTCAGATTGCTTCTATATGGCTTCTCCCAGTTCATTGATCCTGGGGGTTTCACTGGTTTTCTGAGGAGTTCTGGAGGACAAAAGAACAGAAGAGGCTCCTAGAGTACTGTTGGAGAAAGACAAAGAGTGAATTATGACCAAGCGCATGTAAGAGCCCAAATTAGGGATTACATCTAAGTGGCAAAATGTACTTATTTTTCTGCTCTCATCATGTCTGCAGAGAGCCAACCTATAGTCCTTTTTAAGATGACCCATTCCCTTCTGGGGAAGAAAGGGTCACAAGAACATGTTCAGGACTGGTATGAGGAATACTTTGGGCTTCTGACAGATAAAGTCACTTGGATCCACTCAGAATTAGACTCCCAACTAGGCAAATCCAAGCTAATTGAATGAGAGATGTCTTGCTCTGTTACCTGGAAAGTGTTTGCTCCTGTAACTCCTGAGGAAAAATACAGGGTCATTGAGACTGTTAACATGGCCACCTGTCTTTTAGATCAATGTTGTTCCTGGCTAGTGAAGGCCTCCCTAAGGTGGTTGGGAAGATGTAGTAAATGCATCTTTATGTGAGTGGATGGTTCCACCTGCCTTGAGGTGCATCTCCTCCTCAATAAGTTGTAGCTGGATCTAACAATTCTGGGCAGTTTTTGTCCAGTCTCCAATCTCCCCTTTTTAAAGAAGGTTGCTGAGAAGGTGACCAGGTTACAGCTTGAGAAGGCCTTGGAGGAAATGGATCATCTGGGTCCTTTTCAGTTGGGCTTCAGGGCAGGACATAGTATGGAGACAACACTGATCATACTTGTTGATGGTCTGTGGCAAGGCCAGGATGGAGGTGATGTGACTGTCCTGATTTTCCCTGATTTCCTTTTGATACCATTAATCATGGTATCCTACTGGATTGACTGTATAGATTCAGTGGGAGGCATAGTGTTGCAATGGTTCTCCTTTCTCCACAGCTAGTTCCAACTGGTGTTGATGGGAAAGAGATTCGAACCTGAGTCCCCTGATTTGGATGCCCCGGGACTCGACAATCTCAGCCCTCCTGTTTAAAATCTACGTAAAGCCACTGAGTGTGGTATTCATTGACATGGGGCCTGGTACTGTCAGTATGCTAATGATACCCTGCTGCCCATCTCGATCCCAAGTCAACTGAGTGATGCTGTCAAGGTCTTGTCCTAGTACTGTTGAGATCTAAAAGGGAGGAACAGATCTGAGCTTAACCCAATTTGTACGCTGCCCAGAGTTGGGCAGTCTTATAAATTTAAATCAACAATTATAAATAGGATTCCCAGGCAAAGGCCAGACTGACTGGGAATCTGATAGATGCAAATCCAACCCATCTAGATGTTGGGGGTGGCTGCTCTGGATCATAGGTATACTTTTTTGTGTGTGTGTGATGGGCTCACATTTTCATTCCTTCATGGGCTGTTTTCTCTTCCTTTGTCTCAGGTTCCACTCAGGTGGAGAACATCCAGCCGTTCACGGCAAAGCAATTGTCCATTCGTTCATTGGCTGACTGTGTTCTGGATCTCCCACAGCTCCATATGCTTTATCCTAACAGGCCCAAACATGAGGCTTTCAGGAGGGACTACAACAGTGAGTGGTGGGGAGAAGGGCAGGGGAGAAGATGCTCGATATTTTACAAGGCTCTGAATGAGCTGTTTCTTTCCTGTTCCCAACAGGCAGGGGCAGAATTTAACATTTGCTGGAATATATCTGGTTGAAAGTCAAGTTGAAGGAGGGAGGGTTGATGCACAGGAAGATGGAAAAAAGAGGCCTGACAGCAGCCACAACAGGAATTCTCTTATTTAAATTATTGATTTATTTTAAAATTTTCTTTGCACTTACTTTCATCCAAAAGGAGATTTCCTGCCAATATACAGCAAAATCAGAAATGCAATCGAAATAGAGCAGTACAAACTAAACAATAAGAGATTAAAATGGCAAGACATAATTTTTTTTCAGTTAAGGAATTTAATTTACATTCAGAATTCCCAAAGCAAAAGCTGAAAAGAGAACAAGATTGGCACCACGAATACTCCTCTAAGAAGTTGAAAATTGTTTTGCCACTACCAAGAAGGCCCTCTGTTTTAGAGATTATAAATCCATTTACTGTGTATATGGACTATAGCAAGAGGGCCTTCACTGATCAACTTTCTTTTTATACTGAGTTTTGGTTTTTTCACTGACTTCATATTTGTTCAGATATATGTAGTAAAGAACAAGGTTAAACTAAGTTTGAAGAAAAGAGCAGCAGAATTAAACAGAGAGGAAAAAATTCTATGCAGATACTGGAATTTTAATCTGGTATATGTATATGTATATGTATTTATTATATATATCTTATGCAAGGGCAAGATTCTATATGTCCCACAATCAAAATAACTAGAAATGTTTGGAAAGTTAAATGCAATTTTGGTGACTGACTTAATTGGAACTTGGCAGCTTAATATGCACATCAGAAGTTGATGATCCACTTGTGTAATGCTGGTCTTAGTTCAAGAAAATTATCAAAATATAGTAGAAAATATGTATTTTGACAGAACATATATTAAAACTCTGCAAGCAGAAGCAAATTTTGGCAAAGGTTTTTATAAATCACAAAGTAATGTAAAAGTGGGACAAACAAGAATGGATTTATAATAAACACATATAAAATGTCATGGACCAGATAAGGGTTGATTTGTGTCTAATTGCCCTCCCCAGTTCCATTTTGCATCCAAGACAGAGCAAACTTTCAGCAAATCTGCAAGTTTTCACACATAAACGTACATAGTTCAAGTCACAATGATGGGCAATCAAAGAAAAGGTGTGACTTGCAGAGCAGGTAGCTACTGAGGTCAGGCAGAGCTTTTGCTGTATGAATCAGAAAATGTGGAGAGACTCATTTTTATAGATAAAAAGTAAGCCTTTTTTTTTTAATGGCTCAGAACCTGCTTGGAGATTCTAAAGATAAGGCAGAGCAGGTCACATGATAAGTTCATCTAGTATTTGGATGGTGGCTCCTAAGTTGAATTCCTGCCTGGACTGTTTCCAGTGTCCTTATATGTGAGAACTTCTGTGAGACATTGGATGCATCAAACCCTTAACTCATGCCTACAACCCAATCTGGTTAGTTCCCAAATATCTTGGGACTCTACCTTCCAAAATTCTGCAATTGATACGCTGGAAGATCCCAGGCCAGGAACAGCTGCTATAGAGGGAAGCAACTTCTACTGAGGGCTTCCTCTTGTTGCAAAACCTCCTTGAAATTGCTTTCTGTATGAAAAATATAAACTCATTTGTGTGTTGAGAGGCTAAAATGTGGTCATGTTTCTTCCCACAGCAGAGACACGAAAGAACACCAGCAGTTACGTCCCAGCCAGATTAACGATAACTGTAGACACGTGAGTGTGTGAATTCTCCAACTTTTTTCCTCTTCTCTTAACATTCCTTGGGATTGGGTGCAAATATCTTGACAATCTTTTCCTAACTAACCTCTCCAGTAGTAGACAGTGAATTCAGATCTACCTTAATGTAGATCTGCTGAAGTGAAGGGAAGGTTTGTAAAGCACTTCTTCCTGCCTTTCAGCCATGTCCCTTTTGCCCTTAACATTCTTCCATGGCTATCTTACTGGACTTCCAGTTTGGGCTGCTTGTCTCTCTCTCCCTTCTTACCATGGGGAATGGAGCCCAACATAACATCATAAAGCTGTTGAAGGAAGCTAATGGATAGCATCTGGGTAGGTTTTTATTGTATGCCTCCCAGAGTCACATTCATGAGATGGGCAGCCATATAAATTTGATAGATAGATAGATAGATAGATAGATAGATAGAT